GTACGCGCCCCCCTAAAGCACTTCTAAATCCCGTTTTGCAAAGACTTTAGAGCCCCTACGATCGTGGGAGCAGCGGGCCGTAGGCCCGCAGATCGTCAGTGCCCAAAAGTAACGAATTCTGACCTATGTCTCGAACCTGGGCCTGTAGCTATCACAGAGTGGGAGCTGACAACACCCTCCCCAGAGAGAGCAAACGCGCCAGCACAGGCGGTACCAGTCCAGAAGGAAGTCGCAATGCAAGTCAAAGGTTCCGCATGTGTTTGAAACTAGCAGACAATCTTCCAGTTTGGAGTGGCTTGACATCTGAATGGTGCAAGTTTGACCACAACGGCGACACTCTCAAGCGCGCTGAGAGGATTCGAGGCTGGTGCTGGAAGGCGACTACCGCCGGCGCCTCAAGGAAATATAGGGTTCATACAAACAGCCTCGCTTCCATGCGATACACATTGCTTTGTTCATGTCTGTTTTTCATTCATTCAGGGTGCAGTTTAGTTGACAGACTCGTTTATGTTGAGGTCGTAGCTGGTGTGCTGGTGCAGAAGAGTTCTCGCAGCTTTTGAACAGGTCTTTTGCGGAGTGGATGTCTGTCGGTCGACCATGCTGGGTGTCTCGCTGTTTGAGCAGCGCTACACTTGTCGTGGCACCTTCACGGCATCAATGTGCAAGGGCTGAGCGGGACAGGGTCTTCGTTTTTGGAGACTTGTGGCCAGATCGGGCATTTTGAAGGTTTTGCGGACTATGGTCTGCCGCAAGATGCGTCTATGGCAGGCGTGAAGTCTTGAGCGTCCGCAGTGACAGCTTTAGGAGGCCAGAATCGATTGTGCTGGCACACCAGCGGGCAACATTGCAGCAGCGGCGGGCACTTCTGGACGGACTTTGGCAGCTTGACACTTATAGGCCACGGTCTCCATGGGCAAGCCAGGACGTGTATTGCTGGAATGAGTTGCAAGGCTCCATGATGGGTTGGCAGATAGTATTCAACGAGTATGTTGTACTTGACACTTGTGGTGTGGCCAGCCCGGTTATGGGTTGGCCCACAACTTGGAGCTCTAGCTGCGTCTGCAGCCATGGCTGGACAACACCGTGGCCGCTGGACATGGACAACATTGCCAGTACGTCAGACCTCATTGCGAGCGTTGCCTCCCACTGCCAGACTGCAAGTTCCAAATTGACGACAATTTTTTGCTAGTGGTTGGGACGCGCAGGCACCAGCCAGCGACTTCACATGTGCCGCGGGGAGCGTGTACCGCGGACCACATTGTTGGCCTCCACTTGCAGGATGGATGACTTCTTGACGCGGGCGCCCCTCAGCTTCTTGGGCCATCTCACGTGCGTCGCAGGTCTGGAGTGCGCAGCCACCGGTTTCGAGATCTATGGTGCGTTGCAGAAAGGTAGCGTTGCCCTTCGCACTTCTTAGCAGTTGTGGAACTGCTGATGGCTGGAATCTTTGGGGCGGCTTAGACTTGAATGCCACATCTCAAAGCCTTCCGGGCAGTGGCCTGTTTGGAGAATGGTTAGTATTGGGACCAACATCAAAGTGATTGGCGCTGAAGGGTGGAATCGGCGCCAGCGATTCATGGCTTCCCAGACTGAACCTCTGGTCAGGTGGCCAATATCGATTGTGCTGGTGGTGGGGCCAGCTCCACTCACCCAACAGGTGTGAGCGGGCTCGCCTGTGAGCTGCTGGGTCTAACAGGAACATTCAGGAGCGGAGACGTATTTGTGCTGGAAACCCGCGGCTCGCAGCAAGGGTTCATCGACAGATTCGCACAAGACGGGAAAGCCACCATCCTGATGCCGTCAGCGACGGTCGAGTTTGGGCAGTACCGTTTGTGCTGGTGCGTCTCAGGAGCTTCTGCCCATCAAAGCCTCATGAGTGTAAATGCAGGCAAGCAACGCGGCGTTGCTGCTGAAATCAATTTGCACATGGGAAGGGCATGGAGCTGTTGGAACAGGACCACATGTATGTCAGTGGAACGCGGTGAATGGAACCTGGAACGGAAGCGTTGACATCAACGCCATTCGAGCTTAGATGTTCTTCGGAGGCGTCGTATCATGTGGACTTCGGAGGCATGACGATGCTGGGGCCATCATCACTGTCCCACGACTTCACATGTGAGAGTGGGCAAACTTGCACCGGCAGCCTGGAAGAAAACGATCGGATCCAGCTGCTCGACGCCTGTGGGCATACCGGTCGTGGCATCTTGCCATTGAAGGTGCTTCCGGGGGCTTGCTGCAAGCTTCCTTCAATGGCAGCAATACCAGCCTCACTTTCTCTTGGGATCCGGTGCCAATTCTGCGCCAGGAACCCTGTACTGGCCGTGCTGGTGTTCGGCTGCGGTGGATTACCCAACGTTGGAGGCCTTTCGCTCAGATCTGGGGGAGCTCACCGTTCTTGGGATCCAAGAGCCAGGCCAAAGCCACACATGTGCGAGCGGAAGGCAGTGTGTCGTTGATGGAATTCAGGGTGTGTTTGGCATTGCGGTGATAGTTTCGGACAGCATGGGCCAAATTTTCGACACAGGGCACCCCACACACTCAGATTCTCAAACGTACCTGACAGGCCACCGGGCGGTGTACCAGCTCTGCTGGTCCTGAAGACTTTCGCGTGGAGGCCGGGTCTTTGGCCATTGCAGGGCCTGTGCCGATTCAGACCGTATCCTGCATCAATGGCCAATGCTGTGTCATGGAAGGTTTCTCGGTGCTTTTCCCGACCACCTCAGACTCTGTCATGGTCTTACAGACATGCGGCCAGGCACCGTCTGAGGAAGAACCATCTTTGAGCCACATTGTTGGAGAATTGGACGCCCACGGTTCACGGGTGGACTTCAACTTCAGCGATGCCTTCTTCATGGCCTCCGCAGGGGAGTACTGGTGAGGTTGCATCGTCCCTACTGACATGCATCCTGGTGAGGTCGCCGTTCGTCCGTCCTGCAGCTACTCAGCGTCGTGGGCACCCCGGGGCTTTCCGAACCGCGGACAGATGCTGCTCACTCCAAGCTTGCCCACCGCAGCCGCTGGAGGAGAGTATATCCTTTGTTGGAATCGGGCACGAGAGACCACAAATCGCACTGACATCGGGGAGTTCCAGACGCAGCCGAAGCCTTACATCTAGAATCTAGCATGTGTTGCTGCACCGTAAGCCCGCAGCGCGTGTGAATTGACTTTACTATAAGTTCATGTTAGGTATGGTAAATGCTTAAATGCATGTTTTTTTACTTGGAGTTCTTGCTTCCACATCTATTCCGAGCGGCTCCGAGCGGTTCCGCAACTTGACATGCTTTGCCAAGGCAGGAGGAGGAGCAGGAGCAGCAGCAGCAAGAGCAGCAGTTTGGTGAACTTGTTATAATGCACTTTTCTATACCATTCTTGATTCCCAGGTTTCCATTTGCACTCCAAGTACTTCTCGGCCGGGTCTTCTGGAATCCTATTTGTTTCGGTGAATTCCTGCCATCCTGTGCCTGCAACTTCTCCGGTTTTCACGCAAGACTTCTCCTCTCTTTCGGGCATTTTCTTTGGCTTTCTTGATACAAGCGGCTGCTTCAGCATCCTGGACTTCCTCAGTAGGCGCAGCTTTCTGTTGCTTGAATCTGGTGCTAAGACATGTGAGCCTGGGGTGACGAGGCTGGAGGCTTCGAGATACCAGCCTTTGGCTTTCTGCGAGGCGCGCGTGACCTTGGTTTTGAACCGAAAGGCAATAGGTAGTCCTGTCATCAGCTTGGGACGCGTGACTTTCGTTTAGCACCTTGATGCGTGATACAGGGTTTGCAGACTCAAGCGAAGGGCATGAATACGAATCTCCACGGAGGTAAACTACAGATGAACATACCAATGTGTTGGAAATGCCGTTGCAGGCTGATCCAGTCTGCCACAACACTTACAAGGTTTGTAGACTATATTGCAAGGGCAGTTGACAAGTAGATGACGGCGCGCAGCATCGGGTCGACGAGCAGGAGCAGCTGGCTCAAGTCTATCGTGATGCTGCTTCTCATTTGGCACAATGCTTTCGCGGTTTTCTTCCCTCGCTGCACATTGGGATTTGCGGCACCCGCTGGAAGAGGACAGATGCCTCGCCGAAGTCTCCCAGAGTTTGTCTCAGCAGCCTTTGATATAGCTCAGGATCCAAGTGTCCAAGCGGCATGGGGCCTCGTTGTGACCAGCCTTGATGGACTGAAATCTGCTGCAGATTTGTCAGAAGCCTTTGGACAAGTGCTGAAGTTGTCCAACACATGGGAACAGCAGGCACTCTTTGAGGGTAACGATTTACCGGAGCACGTTTCAAGGTTGACCAAGGATATTGAAGAGAGGCTACAGAAAGGTCAGAACGTGTTGATCCCTGGTGCGCAAGATGGAGAGTTACCTGCACAGCCCGTAAGAGGCACGCCTTTCGAAAAGCTGATGACTGCCGTGCTCCAGAACAGCAGGCTGATTGGCACCTTTGCAGTGTATGCGGAGCCAGGTGCTGGAAAATCAACTGCTGCAACCTTGGCAGCGCTCGAGCTCTCGGAAAGGCTGCCGACGGATTTGATTGTTCTTCTGCAGAACAACTATGACCTACAGCTCAAAAGGTTCTTCCGGCTGTCGAATGTTGAGTTCACAGCGGAGGTTGCCCGAGCCCTGTTCGCCAGTCTGAGGCAGAAGGGTATCCGACTCAGGTTGATGTTTGACAACGTCCTGGATAGCGCCATGGGTCGACAAGATGAAGATACGACTAGAGTGCTCGCCAGAGCTGCAGCTGAGCACGCTCACCAGGTCGTCTTCCTGGTGCAGAGTGAAAATTCTGCTGCTGCCATTGCTGGTCTCAACGGTGATACCACAAGTATCCCACCCCAGCAGACTCGCGCAGCAGCAGCTTACCGGTGGTCAAGAGAGGAGACGCTGGATTTATTGCAGGGATTAGGCCTCAGCAAAGAAGCAGATGAGATTCTGGAGCAGTCGCAGATTCCCGATGAGTTTGGCGGTTGGAGACCTCGGAGTACAAAGATCTACATTCAGACCCGTCGGAAGCCCACTGCACCTCGCCCTGCTCCAGGCGCGACTGTCACGGGAAACCTTGCACACACATAAACACGAGAAAAACAAACACACGCACACGCACACGCACGCACGCACAAACACAACAATGGGGTGAGTTGTTCTCTACTACCTGTTTATGGCGGGTATGTTTGGTTTTCATTCGGTGCTTGGGCATTTAACTGCAGCAAAGGTCAGCCTGTGAAAACTTGGTTTTAGATCAGCATGTTACACTCCTGCAAGTGTGAAATCTGCAGTACACTACGCTGAGCGCGCACATGTTTTCTTTATCAATCAGCCGCTGTATGAGTTGATTGGCCATAAGGAGCTACCAATCTTTGGCATTCTGCGAGGCACAGGCGCTTCCTCGGCGCCATCCACCATCGTCTGGGTGCGGGAGCTGATCCGCAAGGACAGTGCTGTGTGAGAGTAAATGCCAGTAACGGGAGCGCAAGCGGGTGGAGCTGGGGTGGAGCACTGGCTGCAGCCTCGTGATCTCGCCGCGGGGCACAGCGGGCCGTCCGATGGCGGGTGGGGGATGGGCTTTGGGGAGGCGGTGGGGATGGGGCTGGGCCTGCTGGGAGTGTTTGTGGCGAAACCCAAACTGGATTGACCAAACTTGGAATTTGCAGTGTCAGCCGACCAAAACCCGAAAACCAGAACACTCCGAACCCAGGTCAGTCATTGTGCAACCCTAAAGAAGAAGCTGCCTGCGGCGAACCCACTGCCATCCTTTGGGCCGTGCTTGATGTAGCAGTCGTGCGCATGAGAAAGAAACAGAATCGGGTTGGGCAGATCGACAGGGGCACCTTGCAGGAGAAATTCGGGGGCAACCGCCGGGTTGGGGAGGAGCCTTGGCCCACTGACTGTAAGGTGAACTTCTTTTGGCATCCCGCGTCGTCCTTGTTGGCCCTCAGCGCGACGACCAAGCTAGGCCTAGAAAAGCCGCACCAGCTGCCACCGTTCCGGACCCGAAGCCCGAGAGCCGCATGTCGAAGCTGTCGGCCGGCTTCGGAGCCAAACCCAGTCTGGGTTCGACAACTTCGAGGGGAATCCCACCCGTCAGCATACCACAGTCCGAGGTTTATTATTTTTTGTATGTTTCAGAGGTCAGTTCAAGAAGATGCCCTTCAATGTCATCCCACCCCAAATCCTGTATGAGAGTTGATGCATTCTTTCCATTGCACGTTTTCCAATACAGAACATGATCTAGATCATCCATGTTCATGTGACATTCCTCCAGAGTTGCAGTAAGGGTTCAGTGATTCAGGGCAAGAGTTGTGTCGACGATCAGAAGTGCTGCAGCGCCTGCGCCTCCTGCCCCACACCACGACTTCGGGGCAACCCCCCCCCCCCTTGGCGCGCAACCAGCCCACCGAACTAGGCCCCAGTGCCGCAGCACTGCTTCCACTTGTCATGGCCAAGAGAAACTATGGCTGCCATACCTCTGGGCTTTTAGCCGCACAGGGAAGACGCACAGCTGCACAGGGAGGGAAGCACAGCTGCACAAAGAGGGAGAATACCTTTGGGCCGGTTTCGTGGTGACAACAGCCTGTAGCATTGCATGTGTTGCCGCAGTTCTGCGGTTATAGCTCTTGTTTTTTTGTTTTTTTATGTTTTCGTTTTTTTTTCTGCAGCGGGAGGGGAGGGGGGGGTAGGAAAGCGTTGCGGCAGTGGACTCGGTGGGCTTTGCAGTGCAACAGGACACCCAAGAGTACACGCTATCCGGCGCCAACGCCTTCAAAATTAAGGAGGCCGTGACAGATGTCGATGGCCCAAGCTGCGTGTGTTCGCAGTTTGTTGCACGGACTTGCGAGGGTTTGAGTTCTGCACCCCGAGGTGGATGATCTTAAGGAGGCCAGTCCGTGCGAGGTGTCGTGTGCCTTGCCTGGGCAAGTGTCAAAGCTGGTGAAGCACGGAAGGCGATCGAAAAAAAGGAGAAATTACGGATTGCAGCATCCAAGATTTTGATTTTCAGCCGCCAGGAGGACCTCCGCGAGTTGCAGCTTGGGTTCACCTTCTGCGGCCTTGCAAGTGCTCCCGCCCAGCATCCCGCAGGACGGGGAGTGGAGGCAGGAGGAAGAAGACGCCGCGGTCAACCGTGGTGCAACGAAGCCGTACGCTTACATAGCGTTTTCACAAAAGTCGATTTGTTGTTGGGTGTGTGGTGCCCTTGCAGCCGTAGTTGCAGCCCAGGTCTGACAGTTATGGTTTCGTCCTGCCCGACGCGAGCCAGCCAGGGCCACAGCAGAGCCACTCTTCAGACTCAGGGCTTGTCGCATGTCCGCATGTTGCATTTTTGACTCCCGCTTGTCCAGCGTGCGCTTGCCCGTCCGGTCGGGTCGCCAGCGTGGCAACTGCTCAGAAGCTGTTGTTGAGTCTTTGCCCGAGGCCGCCCTCGTGAGCGCTGGGCGGTGTAGAAGCAGAGGTTTCGACAATGCATTCGTTAACGAGTCAACCAAAATCTCCGTGCCATTTCGCAGCGAGTTGCAGTAGCCAATGTTTCAGGGCGGGAAGCTGCGGTTTTACTTCCGAGCGGTTGGCCGGCAAATCCGCTGGGTTAAGCGGCAAAGTCAAGGTGGCAGATCAAACCTTTCCAAGAAAATCCTGCAGCAGCAGCCCAGCCATAAGCCCCAGATTTGGCACCTTAGCTCGCTGTCACCAAAACCTGCGCAAGCAGCCGACAAAAAAAAAAACGGGGCAAGGGGCCGGACCAGAGTGAGGAGCGTAGCAGCGAGGGTTCTTTTTTTGTTGGCCGTGGATATTTTGCGTGGTTGCCTTTGTGTGTTTGTTTGTGTGTGTGGCGGCTGTGGCCTCAGCCCTGGGTTGGGGATTTGGCGGAAGCGACATGCGCACTCCGCACGCAAGAATAAGTTTCACACCGCCCTTCTTCAACATCAGGCCCAAAAAGCAGTTGCTGCTGCTGCTGCTGCTGCTGCTGCTAATCTTTGTTTTTTGGCTTCCAAAGTCGTAGCCGCGTCAACCATCCGCAACGTCACAGGCATGGGGGCCACCAACAGGCACGTCAAACCCGAACCACCCCGAACGCGAACCCCGAAGCCGCCAGCGCCAAACAGGCTCTTCTGCTGCACCTGGGCGTCGGGCGTAGATCTAACCTGTGCGAAGGGGCATTGAATGGCATTGCATGGCATTGCATGGCATTGCATGGCATTGCTGGTTTGTGACTGGGCTCAAGCAGCTTGGCGGGCCGACCCTTTGGAAGTGATCTTCTTCGCAAGCCGTAGTCATGGGCATTGGATTTCTCGGCGATTCGACCTGGATTAGTGGCGGTCTCTGCCTTGGCTTGTGCTTAGGCGGCAGCGTCATCTTGAACCCAGAAGGTCGCGTGGTTGGGGGTGCTCTGGAGACCGACATTGGACTGGGCATGGAGTTGGATGGTGGACAGTGCCACGCCGACATCATCATCAAGAAGCGGTATCCATCTTACAGGGCGGAGAAGTTGGAGACTTTGGAAGACCATTGCCCCAGCGGATGCTTTCCTGCAGACGCAAGAGTCAAGACACCCGAAGGTGCCAAGGCTAACATCCTAGCGCCCTTTGTACGATTGCACATCGAATCCCAGAACTTGTCAAAGGTGCTGGAGCTCTCCAGCGATCATTTTCTTCCAGTTTGTCCACGACGGGGTGTGCCATGCCTCTTGGGCGACGCTGAGAACAAGTACGCTGGAGAAGTGAAGGAGGGTTTATTTGTGTGGACCATGGGGCTTGATTTGCAGTTAGCCCAAGTCTTGTCAACCGGAATGGTTGCCAAAACAGGGCTATTCAATCCATACACCTTGTCTGGCCACATTGTCAATGACGTGGTGGCCAGCTCCCACAGTAGCTGGGTTTGGGATGCATATATTCCACGTCCATGGCAAAAACATTTGCCTCACGTCTACCAAGCGTTGTTCTTGCCAGGACGTTGGCTCTACAAGATGTTTGGGCCGCAAGCCACAGATTTTTTGGCATTGAGCAATCCCCTGCAGCAAGCACCATGGTTACCGTACATCATGGCCATTCTGATGGTGGCGGCTACCGTGATTCTGAAGAGAGCTCCCAAATCTGACTCTCGCATCAAGGTCTTGGTGCTAGACGTTAGGTAGCAAAGCTACCAGTATGCGTCCCCGCGAGTCTGGCCCTCTTTCAGTCAGGTGCTGTAGCATCCGCGAGAGGGCAAAAACTTTTCTTTAACTTTTCTTTTCTTTGCCTTGGGGCCGCGTGAACAGGTTTCCAGCCCCCGCAACTGTATGCTTTTTGCAAGCTTGCCATGGTTTCGCCTATTTTGCTTTCTGCTGCGGTGTTCGGGGGTGTGTCGGGCAGCAGTATTCTGATGATGATGCCACAGTCAGTGGGTGATGACAGCGACTGGTTGTATTGTTTGGAGTCGGTTTTCTTCATCGGCAAACTACATCAATTTTTGCGCCGCCCTGATATCCTTGGATTGTTTGTGGCACGGCAGTGGCATCCACCTGTCACGCCAGATGAAATACTGGTGGAAAATTGGGACAACATCAATGGATACCTGGACGACTGGTCTGCTGGGCAAGCGAGAAACATATATCGTTTTCCATGAGGTCCGTATTGTGTCGTTCCACATTGGCCTTGGTATGAGAACTTGAGCTTGGCTTGCGACTGAGAAGATCTGTGCGTACGATACAACAACCCCTCCATTGGGATTTGTGGATTTTCCAGCCCTTTGAAAGGCCCCATAGTGCAACGAGGGCCTCCTGCAGTCGTGCGCTTCTAATGGAAATTATGACAGCAGCAACTCTGGAGTCGTTGCTTGTCGAGGCCATGTTTGGAGCAGCGTGGGGGTAGTACCATGGACGCTAAGAGCTGGACTCGTGCTGAGAGGTAAGTCGTGGAACGATGGACAGATTTGATTCCCTGCCCTCGTGGAAAGTCTTATCAGATGCTAGAACCACGTGACAAATGAGTCTGTACTGTTGATGATGGCCTTACTCTACGATCCTTATGTCATTTTCGCTGATCATGGCTCACTGGTTTGCATGTATGCGAGCTCGTGGTGGTGCTTCACCGAGACGACAGATTTTTGATGAGTACAAGATCGCGATAGTATTTTGTAGTATTCTTGTGGTTGTGAAAAAGGCATCGTGGCATGTGCAGGCACTAGGCCAGCAAGGAAATGGATTACTGTTTTGGACCTGGGCGTAATAGTGGGGGGACCCGCAAGATGCTCGTCTCGATCGCCACTCTTGCTGCTCGACGGGTGTTGGCTTGCAACCTGCGACGTGGGACAACTCGCTCGGACCTGGAATCCCATTATGAGGCACATCGAATTTCGATATACTTCATGATGGTCTTCTGGGTGCGGGTTGAGTGGGGATGTTGCAGATCTCCCTTGTCTGTTTTCTGCCCTGGGGCATTCTTTGGATTGGTGTCCACATGCAGCAGCCATTGATTGTGGAGGAGTGACTACTGTCGGAATGTTATGCCAAATCAGGAAGTTCCTCGTTGCGGCTACTGAAATCCCTGTTGTTCTGTGGAAGGGTATATCTTATTTACAGTTCGCGACGTGGCGAGGACGACAGCACTTCTGAAAGACCCATTGATCATGTGGTTCCGTTGCTGCCAACACCGGTGGAGTGCTTTACAGGCTTCGTATGTGCTCGTCTGTCCGTGTCCATCGACGTAGAGACTATGGGTGGTGTAAGCGCCAGCTACCGAAGGTGGTGGTGATGAGGATCCTCTCTTTTATAGTATTTCGAGGCCAGCGTTTACCTACGTGCTACCCTCTGCGGTGGCAGTGGTCCCTGGCTCGACGAGTAGGAGCTTCCGTCTTGATGAGGAAGCTATCCTTGGGCTTTGTTTTCGACAAGCGGCCAAGAAGAGATTGCTGCCCCTCTCGAATGCCTCGGTGCTTGGGCCGTGTCCAAAATTAGGGGTGGGATCTTCCTGTGCCTGGGTTTGGGCAGGTTTCGAGAACTTGGGGTGCCCTTGTCTATGGGCATGACCGTTGTGTTCCACCTGTAGGTGGATTTTAGCATGTTTTCCTGCTGCAGGCACAGATTCCCCCCTTCTCTTCTCTTGGTTAATTGCTTGCATGATCCAGGCTGCATCTTGGCTGAAGGACCTTTTCTTTGGTCTCTCACCAAGGCACACAATTTCTGCATGACAGCAGTGAAGGAGGACAGACTCAGCTGGACGTGGTTTCCTCATGAGCCTGTGTAAAATTTTATTGATTGTCGTCCCTTCGTAACTAGGGTGCGATTCCGTGACCCACCTGTAGGTGGGCGTTGAACGGTTTCATTTCATGACCAACATTTTCTTTTGGTTTGTTAATAGGGGATTTGGTCCTGGAGCGTTCTTGAGACAGTGAATTTGAGTTTGTTCGCTATGGAGCGAGAAGTAACTGGCCTGCGGCTACGGTGGCAACTTCGACGGCTATTTCCCAACGTGGAGACAGAAGAGTTACTTTTGGGGCCTGTGGTTAGCGTCACAGGACCGGTGAATGTTCCTCCTGGTGCCAGGGTCGATGTTCCACATGATGCATCCGAAGACCTGGAAGAGGAAGAGGAACGCATTCCGGGACCTTGGCACTTAACAGAGTTGGAGACAGTGGTTGGGGGTCTGGACGGTGATGAGGAGGAGCACATTCCTGGGCCTGAGCGCATGGATGGCTCAGAGGCAACGATTGGGATCTCGAGTGTCACGATTTTCCCAACCTCGTCGTCCGAGACAGACAACTCCAACTGTACTGACTTGGGTGTCGAATCAAACCCCACAGTGATCTCACCATCGGGGTCATCCCCTTACATCGATCTTGCCGATGTTATGGCGTCGCTGGAAGAGGAGGGGCCGTCCTTGCGAGGGTCCGTGGCCCCCCTTACCTCCTTTGGAGCGATCAATTCTTCCTATAGGCGGCGATCAGAATAAAAAGAAGGGGAAAGAAAGGTCCCAGAGGCAAAAGAGGTCCCTAAAGGAGAACCTGAAGGAGAAGGAGAAGGTGAGAGCGAAGCTGGGACAGATCCCACTTCTGAAGAGTATGAGGAGTCCTCAATGGAGAAGAAGCCAGGAGGTGAGAAAGGAAAGGCTTCTACTGAGGTGCCCGGTGTCCCAGGTAAAAGGGGAAAAGCCAAGTCACCCTTCACACCTTTCAGTCCTAGGTCAAAGACCAGCCGAAAGGAGAAGAAGATGCGTAGCAGGTCTGAAAGTGAAGGTGGAAGGGAAAGGCGCAGCAAGCTGCACGAGAAAAGGTCTCGCCGTCCTAGGAGCACGGACAGGGACCGAGGTAGGCATCAGTCACGAAAGAGGTCTGAAAGCCGCCAAGAGCGGTTATGTCGCCTACTGCGTGAGGAGTTTCAACTCATGGAAACTGACATCACGGAGGTCCTGGTTAACGTACGGGATATCCAGGCCAAGAGGCAGAAGGTTAGTAGAG